ATTTCAAGAACTGACAGACTGGCAAATGTTACCACACCATGGACTGGATTCGACAATCAGGCCGATGAAATAGGCCTGTCTTGTCATTTTGACCCTTGTTCGCGGTCAACATTCTAAGCTGTCATCTATCGTTAAGAGGTTAGTCGGTATTATGCATTTTCATGCGCTACACCCATTCACATCTATCGTATATCTTCGTTGTATTGCATAAGTCTCGTGACGTCAATGATGTCTGGTTAAGTCCAATGTACGATCTCGTTCATCCAATATTTGAGTCGCATCCTAGTAAATCTACTAAATCCAGTAACCGCTTACTCTATCCATTCCTTTTATCTGTGAAATCCACCCTTATTCAAAGCGCCCATAATAGCTCTACCTATCTGCCTTTACACCGCCCGTCTTCTATAACTCCGTCTATCTCCCGTAACTTTGCACTATTACAGGTAATACTGCTTCAAAGGAGTATCAGAAATACAAATATCAAGATTTATTACCTTCCATCAGCAGAAAGCATGAGATCTTCTGCGAAGCGAGAGTCTCGCAAGAACGAAATAAGCTCCATGTTTGTCAGACACTGTAATGCGGAAACTGGACGAGAACGTGGCTGTTCCTCTTCAGCAGGTTCAGAATTAATCTAAAAAAGTGAAAACAAAATTTTTAACTTTTTTCTGAAACACAAAGCATAGTTAAATCTAAGCTAGGAACTTAAAAGAATAAGAAAATATATAGCATATCCTTTCTTTACAGTGCTAAATAAGGCTAAACTAAAATGCTTTTCATGACGAAACTGTTCATAAATCCTGAAACAACCATCCCAAACACTATTGCCTGAAATACGGCAAGCTAACAATAGCTAATAACAGAATAAGAATTTTAAGAGAAACGCATAGGGCAGGGAAATTACAGCGATATCACACTAACTAGTTAAGCATGAAGCTAGAAAATGAAGTAGAACTGGTAATGAACAAGAACCGCAGAAGCACCGCAGAAGCATAAATATCGATTGTTTTTACCGGAAGTAGTGAAAATCGGTGCTTGTTGGTAAACCCAAATTCTTGTAGGGTAATTCACATTTCTGAAGAACAATTTTCAAACAAGAAACGCGAAAACAAATATGCTTATCGCTAAAAAAACTTTCTGTGATAACCAGATGTTTGCATGACTTGCTAGCTTAAGAAGCTTCGATATTTTCGCTTTTCGTTTATGTTCGCAGCTTACGACTAGAAATGTTACAGCTGCTGCGGACGGCAACAACGACAGGCAAATGATCAAAATCAACTCATGCTGAAGAATATTCGCTGGATACGAACAGAAACGTCCATACTGGTATCCCATCCAGCATTCAAGTGTTTCGCTTTTCGTATAATGAAACTGTCCTTTATCCACTTCTGAAGTGCAATTACCGACGCGAGGAAAAACACTCAACAGTTTAATGACCAACTTGGTATAAAAGATTAATTAGCTCTATCTTTAGAGACGCCACAGTTACTTAATCAGGACGTAGGAATAATATTGTCCCCAAAGAGTAGCAATCCATGTTGGAAAAATATCGGTTTATCGACAAAACTTTGAAGACAACGCTTTCAGGACAAGTGGCTGTGGAAAAGACATAAGATTCTGCTTTCTCCTTTAAGTCGAGTTTCGGTTTCCGATATAGAATGCATCAGCGAGATTTCACAAATTCACAATTGGTTGTTGGACCGAAGAGAATATTAACAACTATATTACAAGCTGAAAGAAGGATCAAGAATCTGAAGAACAATATAGAATAAAATTGATTCACGTATTCATCTATCATTCGAAGCAGCATATACTTCGGGGTAGTGACGATAGCAACGTAAACGTCGGCAAGGATATATTTTAAGCCTTATGAAAAAGAATTTAGTAAGGTTCCTGACTTCAGATTCGTCGAAACATGTTCACTCTTGTGCAATAACTTTGACAGTTCAGCACAACATAACTACGTCAGACTTATATTGTCTCGTGTTGAAAACACAGTATGAATGCACCGACGTTTGTCAAATGAGGAAAAGAAACAAATAACCACAATAAACAAATAACAAATACCTTGTCGATGACAAAATCAGCCTCGTCGATAAGAACGTTTTTGAGCATGGTCTTGGCGCACAACGCCGGGGATTCATTGTTCTGTTGCAGTAATTCGTTGGTGGAAAAAGCACCGCGTATCAGATCGGTTGGTGACATCATTCCAGCTACAAATGGACAATGAAAACGATCTAGACAGTCGCTTGGCAGCACAGGACATACCTTTCAACGCAGGGCGAGCGACTTTTAGCAAGGCGATAGCCGACGACTCGGCCAGCCCGCAGTTGCGTACCAAAACGTTAATGGCGTCAACGTTGTTGTTGAACCAAGAGTCTTCTGCAAGCACGTAAATTTCAATGCCCCGATTGCGCATCGCTCTTGAGATTCCACCGTATTCTGCGCTCATTGTAAAGAAGGCCCTAAAGTAAACGATAAAAAATCTAATTACAAGCAGTAAATGAAAACGCAGCATCCGCTCTCGCGAACAGCTACGTTTGTGGCCAAGTATCGAATAGAGACATGGTTGCTGCTGTAAACTTATATAACGTCAACCAAATCATGACTACTTATAGATATTAGTTATGCTTGCATTTCTCACTACATGGGACATGCCTTTCGCGTCTCCAGAATATAGATATACATTTTGACACTAATTTGGTCTTCATTATTATGTTAAATATCGAGGGACCGGTAAAGGAAACTTTTAAGAACGAAGAAATGTAAGAAAGACCAAAGGAATCTGAAGGCACAAATGAAGATCACAAAATTTCAGATATCTTGTCAGAACAAATGTCACGTGCAATACAACAGTCAAAGCGAGGAAGGGCTCCTAGCGAAGGCGGCATTACAGTGGCACTTATGGCATGAGGAGGTGAGCATAGAGAGATATATTAGTCTACGCCTGAATGCTATTCGTAAACTGCAAAGCAAACTATATAACTCGGTGTGGAATGGTACATGTTCGGAATGC